TAATTGTAAACGTTGTTAATTATCTAATAAAAAGCCCCCGGCCATAGAGGTCACCTTAACACTGAAAAAAAAAAAAAAAATTAAATTAAATAGTGTAATTGTAAAGCATTATTCATTATTAAAAATTCTTTAAGTTGGGAAATGCATAATATTGGATATTGCTATGAAAATAGAATATGTACTAAAAAGGTATAAAATACAATTTTATAAATTGAATTTTTATCTTAAAAAAAGAAATTTAACACTTTATATTTTGATTAATATGTATATCGAAAGTCATGGTGTTTATAACTATCAAAAATCTGCAGAAATGGATGATTTCGATAGAAAATTCGAGCTCAATAAGAATAAGTTAAATTAAAAATAATAATTACAAAACATTTATGATTAAAAATCTACAGAGACGAGAAAAGTGCCAGTAGAATCCATGATATTGGATATTATGAAAATGAAATATTAATTAGAAAAGATACAAGACATTTATGTATTACTAAAAATTGGCCAATATAGGTACTTCCAATAGAATATTTGCACTTAGAAACTGCGATTAAGAAGAAATCAAAGTTAAAAATGATAACTATAAGGTATTTATTATTAAAATTTGCAAAGACAGGAAATACTAATAGAATAAATAATGTAATAAGGTGAAATTGAAGTTGAAAACGATGATTATAAGGCATTTATTATTAAAAATCTGCAAAGACAGGAAATGCAAATAGAATAAATAATGTTGGGTTTTGTTGATAAAAAATGTTGATTTTAAAAGATATAAAAGTATTCATGCATAATCAAATCTGCTTAAATAGATAATTCTGATAGAAAATTGCATTTAGTAACTGCTAGTAAGGTGAAATTAAAGTTGAAAATGATAATTCATTATTAGAAGTCTGCAAAGATAAGAAATGCTAACGTTAGATATTGAAAAACATAATACATTTATAAACTATTAAAAATCTGCTAATATAGAATATTTTACTTAGTAACTGCTATCAAAATGGAACTAAAGTTAAAAAGATCCTATTTTAGAATACATTCAAATATTTTTATCAGTAATTATCTGCTTAATCTACTCAAACAAATTGATTCAAATAACTATTATCTTAATTAGATATCTGTTTATTTGCAGGTTATCTGAATAATTCTTAGTTTGATTTAAGAAATTTGCTTCATGAATAATAAAGCAGTATAACTTGTAATTATTTCATTTCTTTATTTGCTATTTATTGAAATAAATTAATTCTTATTTTTTGAAGTTATTATTAAGAATCATAAGCATCTGTTCTGCTATTTCTTTTTTTATAGTCATTGAATATCTAGAGATCCAATTACATATTGTTTCTAGCTTAGGTATTTGTGTGTGGTCTAGTTCATTATTATTGGCTTTTTCATTTAATGCTTGAAGCATATCTTCTGGTAGATATCATTGACTAGAATTGGCATTTCTAGAATAAAAATAGCCTTTTAACAGGTTTGCAACTTCTTTTGAAATATGTGCACCTCCTTTTTTTCCAAATTTTTGTTTTTCCTTTATAGCCCATCCTTTTGGTAGTGGATATTGTTCTTCAACAATACTTAAAATTTAAAAAGAAAAATATATGTTAATAAAAACTATATATTTTAACCAAAATTTAAATAAAATTTTTTACTTTATATATTAAATTGACAAATTTAGTAAGTTACTATAATTTTGATTTTGTAATAATGATTCTAAAATGAAAGGTGAGTTTTTAATTAGATTAAACAAAACTGTAAATTATAATCAAATTTTTAATATGTATTTATCTTTGTTTTATTAGAAATACAAATAGTAAAAACTTACCAGAGTTTTTCTCTGCATTTAAGGTTTGTTATAACAATGCTTTTAATTCTGTTCGATCACAATTTTCATTAAATAACATATTTCATTGTATTAATTCATTTCGAATTTCAGATAATCGCATGCATTTTGAATTCAAATATGCTAATTGATATTTTTGTAAGTATTTATAGCATTTAAAAAAAAAAAGACAATAATAGATATATTACTAGAGACATCCGGAATTGAAACTCTCCAAGATTCTTTTGGTACAGAATGTGATATACATGTAGGTTCAGGTTTATTAATTGGCTGTTTGATTAAATGATCAATTTGTGATAGTAAAAAATTTATCCATTCTCCTATATTAGATAATTCACAGGCTTGTATATATCTATTATAGAATCCTTTGCATGGTCATTGCCAATAATACCAATCAGAAATTCTAGCAAGTGTTTTGACTTTGGTTTCTGCACTTTGATTAGGCTCTAAATAAGCCACTAAAGTTCCACAAATATGAGAAATTGCCATTTCTATTTTTTCTCTATTTGTTAAATTATTTTTTAACTGAACAAAACATCTAATTGCATGTGAAATCTATAAAGAGTTAATAAAAAATTAATTTAAAAAATTATTATAGAATCCGAAAATTACCTGGGCATGGTGAGAATCTATAGTGGTTTTTGCTTCGCCAGGTTCTAAAAAAATCTATTTTTTAACTGTAATATTGTACCATTGATACCAATAACTTAAAATAATCATTAATTCTGAGTTGTGATAGTGGCCGCTGTTATCAAAGATAAAAGAAACCCATTTTGGTTTTGTTTCAAGAGCAGTAATTACAGAATGAAGTGAAGATGCAGTAAACTATGCATCTTGGCGAGTATCACTTGACCAGTGATTAAATACACAAATATCTAATTTATTATCCCTTTTTTTTGTATATATTAATGTTGTGTGAAGTGTCCATCCTTTTTTACTAAAAAATGCATCTTTTGATTCTCGTGCCAATTTAGGAAGAATACGCATCTTATAATCAATGACTATTAATGCTCTATCTTTATCAAGTTCCCAAAGATTAACAGAAAATTGTGAATTTAGATAAGTTTTATGTATTTGATGAGAAAGATAGTAACACAATTTATTATAGGCTTCATCTAATTTTTCAAAACTAGATTTATCAAAATTAAGTCATAATTGTTGAAAAAGTTCCCACAATTCATTACATTTTATACAAATATTAGTATGTATATCTTCACAAACACCAAATGCATATGCTAAGCAATGTGAAATACAAGGGTTATGAACTACTTGTCCATTTGTATTGATTATTATTTCTTTTTTATAATCTCATTTGAAATGTCTTCTAATTTATTCAATTTTTTCAATTAAACTAGACTTTAAAAAAGTAAGTACATATTATTAACGAATTATTTATAATTATCAAATTATTTTTATTACCTGATATTTAGTATCTTTGATTTGTACTGAAATTAGTTCAATTAGATCTTCAAAAACATTATAACCATATTGACAGCATATAAAATATAGGCTGCCAAGATCTTCACAATATTGAAACCTTCCTTGTGCCAATTCTGTTATAAACGTTGTTCATTTAATTTCATCTGAATAGATTTCCGAATATTTTTTCCACAAAGCTGATTTGTTATCTTTTAAGTAAAGCACTGGTAATTAGGTTTTTGAATCAATCTTATATTAACGATTGATTTATCTGAAAAAAATTTTTTAAATTGATTTTTTGCTTCTTCAGAAAATCGGTTACGATAAATAACAGGTTTTTCTATTATAGGACAACCTGGACTATTAATTTGTGCAAATATTCGTGCTTTTTATATAGTTTGATAAGACATAGAAAACTAAATAAATATAAGTATTATTGTAGTAATTATTATTAGCAAATTTTTTTAAATAAATTATTTCAAAATTTTTATACTTACTTTCATTAATCTCAATTCGTTTAAAGAAAATTCATCAGTGATAATTGATAATATTCATCTTTTATCTTCAATACCTTTTTTGTTTGCTTCATATGAATCTAATAAACAATCTGCTAATCGATTTGTAAAATTAACTGGTTTAGCAAAATTATGTAATGGAGTTGTAGATAGAAATCCATCTTTATATAAAGTATATAATATTTCTTGATCATGTAAAAAAATTAGTTTCCTTGGTCCAAAATTTATACTAAATAATAAAAAATTTGTTATTTATTTTTATACAATAAAATTATTTATAAAATATTACTTTAGATGTTTTATTTTTGAATGATGTAATATTTGTATATCCTGTAGCTTTAAGAAATACATGCTAGGCTCTTATTTCTCAATCATTAAATTCATAATTTGGAGAATAAATTTTTCGAATAGTAGACCATATTTCAATAATTCCACTTATTTTTTGAGCCCATTTAAGAAATATGCACCACCAATTAATATTACTAAGTGTACATCTTTGTAAATAATATAAAAATAATTGGTTCATAATTTCAAAATTAGTCCAATTATTTGGTTGACATGTAGGTAATCTACGTAGTTCTAATTTTTTTTTGGTGTAATTGTCATTTAAACCAAAAAGTGTAAAACTATCTAATTTTTGTAAAATACTCATTTTTTGCCAAACTTTTGTAGCTGATTCTCCTTCAAATATAGCAATAAGTATTGATTTATCAAAAATTTTTATTTTATAAGATTTTTTTTCTCTTGTTTGTACAAATAAGCATTTTTTTTTGCAATATATATATTCAAGAGACGAGGCAAAAACTAAATTTGCTTGATTATCTAATGAATATATAAAAATTTAAAATTTATCAAATGAAATTAAAAATGGTTAAAATAAAACCCTATCTAATAGCTGATTTATTATATTATCATTATCGAAACCTAATTCTAATGGTTCAGATAATTTTCAATTATTTTGAAAAATTTGTTGATATAAAGAAGTTAATGCTGCACTACATGATTCTTCAATATTACTAAAATGTTTTCTAGCTTGACAATAGTAACCAGGTTGTTGTAAATGATTTGAATACCCTTGAACTATACACATAATAAATTCTGGACTGTTAAGAAAAATTGAAATAGTTATACCAGGACGAATAGGTACTTGTTGTATTTCATTTTCTAGAGTAGTACTATATCACCAATATCGAGAAAATAGTCATAATGTAAATTATGAACAAGAGTACTAGGAGAAAATAAAATTATATTGGATTTAGAATGTTTAGATATATTTTTAATACTTGGAATCTTGAGATCCCAAATTAAAAAAATTTTATTAATTAAATTAACACTGTAATTTTATATAAAATGATCTGCAAATTTTTAACTTCTATCACGAATTATGAATTAATCATTATTAGTATAATAAATATAAACATTGTATAAAAAATATAATATTCAATTATAAATTAGTAATTATAAATAAAAAAAATTTTAAATTTAATAAATTTAATTTTCTGGTATGAAATTGCTTATTATAACAAACTATTATAATGTCAAGTAAAAGATTGCAATTAGCATGGCATTTACCAATATAGAAGATGTTCATTTAGCTTTAGAAAGCTACTCTGTTAAAACTTTATCTTATGAATAATTATGCTAGTTTAATACTATTTTAATACAAAAATAATTATAATACAACAGAGTGAAACCCATAATAAAAATTTGTGAAAGTTGTTATGTTATTGATGCAGATCACTATCTAATATAATAACTAACTCTTATGTAGAGTAGTAGGTATAGAGTTTATAGACATGCCTCCTGGGCATGCCTGGAGGCATGTTCTTGAGCTGAAAGATATGTCTTTATTATATAATAAAGATGATTGATCATGTGATAATATATATAATACTCTGATTGGTTTTTATAATAAACATAACAGCCTTTTTATACAAAATTATTGATCTTTTTTACTTAAATATTTAAGGCTATTATGCTTTATTATATAAAAAGCATATTTATACAAATCTATCTGCATTTAGTTAGCTTAGTGTTTTGATCCAAAGCTTGAACAAATAGTGATTAAGGTTAATTTAAATCAATAAACTAATATATATATACTTAATTATAGGTTATAAGATTCTCTTTATTAACATAAATCAATATATTAAAATATTACAACAATACTAAATACTATTAATGATCATTTATCTTCTCATTTATAAACTGTAATTAAACCTTTATATATTTATAAATTTAGCCTGAGATTTTAAACTCCTACTAGCCTCTGTCTGGGAGCTATTTACTCTCTTTGAGAGCTTTTAACTCCCTCCAGGAGTTATAGACTCCAACATGCCATTAATCATTTCCAGACTATACTCAAATAAGTAAATAATAAAAGAATACTAATAAAAATATTAAATTAAAGAAAAATATCTTGCCAGATTAAATTCACATTAAATTGTATATAAAGCTAGTTTTTAGATATATTCTTAGGTTTGTTATTTAAGTTCTTTGACCAATCCAAATAAAAATTTATAATCTGAATCTGAATTTATCTGAATTGAGGACAGATTTATGATTGAAACACTAATTTAGCTATCATTCCATATAAAGTTCATTTACTACTAAATTAAGTGTCTATTTCTAAGCCTTTTCAAATATGTTAAGTATTGTATCTGAAGTATAATTATGCAATTAAAATCATATAATTATTATCAAAAAGGTGTAAATTAGAATTATGGCATGAAGTATCGTATATAAGAAAATTAGAAGTTGTTACAATATAGAATTTAGAAGAGTATAAAGAAAAAATGGCATAAGGTATTATGTATAAGAGTCAGAGAAATGTGTCAAAAAAAAATGTTATGAGATATTATACAAGTTTAAATAGGAAGATAAAAGTCATAGTAAAATATGTAAAAAAAAAAGCATAAATTATGCATAGTGAAAATAAGATATAGTGAAATATAAAATTTATGTATTTGAAAAAATATATTTAAATCATCTTTTTTAGTCAAATAAAAACTTTAGAGTTCAACTAAATTCTAATAGTATAATATTTGAAATCGTACTTTTTTTAAAAAAAAATTTGAAATTATTTTTATTTTAATCATTTCTAGCTATTGATTATACAATATTATTAAAAATTGACCTGTTACATATATCATTAGCTTCTTTATATTAAATAATCTTAAAATTGTATAATTTGCAAAATCTTAAAATTTCTAAAAAAAAAATAAAATATATATATATAATTTGGTTACAATAAAAATCCTTCCAAATTTTGCTTTACTGCTTCAAACTTAAAGTCAGCACTGGTATGAGTTTTATTATCCTAATTAAAAGAAATCTAGAAATAGATATATTACAAATATAACTATTGTTTAATTAAATTAAATAGTAAGCCTAACAAGCTTCATCAGCATGTACTTCAGTGTAACAGTTGGTTTAGAGAAGAAAAAACTCTTTATTTTAAAAAAATTAATGAAAAAAATCTTGTATCTCATAAGCGCACTTGTAATAATGATAATAATACTTCTACTAAACAAGTAAATTATGATAATACACAGCAATCATCAATATCCTCTCAAAGTACTATTACTAATTAGTATACTTGGTCATTGTCTTAAACACAATCTGAACAACTCCAACAAAAACTTTTAAATACCATTATTTATGATAATCTTCCCTTTTGCTTGGTTAATAATCTATATCTCTAAGATTGGATTCGTGAATTAAACCCTTTTTATAAATTTTTTTTCTAAGATATAATTAGAAGACATATTTTAATCAAGATTTTCTTAGTCTATCTTCAAAAAAAGTTGGATATTCTTCCAACTCAAACAGATTTTACAATCTCTCTTGATAGATAAACTGATAATTCTAAAAATTCTATTTATAGTTTTATGGTTCTTAAAGAGAACCAAGAAACCATGTAGGATATTCTTGATTTGTTTGCACATCATTATACAAGTAATTTTCTAAAAGAAAAAGTAGAAGAAGTTCTATTACTGAATAGTATTAAGACATTATCTGCCAATGCTATTGTTACTGATAATGCTTTAAACATAGATAAAATGTGGCAACTGCTTCATATAAGTGTACTATAGTAATACTGCCACTTTTTTTTTTTAAGAAAAAAAAATTAAAAATAAAATTAATATAAATTAAATTTAAATTTATTGCAAAAATTTAGAATAAATACTTTAATATCTTTTCTATTTGTTGTTGTTTGCATGTTTTTAACCTGATCATAAAAGATATTACTAGTTTTCTCAATATTATTTCTATCTGTAAAAAAAATCAAAAGTTGGTTAATTTTTTTAATTCATTATATATATAATGTTGAAAGTTGTAAAACTGACAAAAGAAGAAAAAAATTAAATATTTTTTGGCTACATTTTGTAAAACAAGGTGGTATTCTTTTGCTAAAGTTTGCATGAGTGTATCAACTTATAATCAAGATTTTTAACATTGTCTCTTTCTGAGCAAAACTATACAATCTAAGTATTCTAAAATAGAGAATACTGTAATATAATCAAAAAACTTATTAGTAATAGATATTATTTTGCCACAAATAACATATTAACAAAAGTGGTTAAGCCAGTTGTTGATTCTATTGAAAGGTTAGAATTAGATGACTCTATCTTGGCTGATATTTTTATTGAACTCATCTATATTTACCAATAAATATCTCAACTTGAAATTCCTATTACTAGTTTTCAAATACATACTCTTACTATTATTAACAAACATGTAAGAAAATTTAACAGCAACATCTATTTTATCACACTTTTCCTTTTTCTAGTTTACAAAAAGCTTGCCATGTTTAAGAAAATGGATAGTAATCAAATGATCTATGCTTTGCTTAAATTAGCTTAAGCATGAAATTTCAAGAAAAAAGACACAATTCTTCTATATAAAGAACTAATTGATTACAAAAACAATAACCCCTATTTAATACAATTCCTCTTGATTCTTCAAAAAATTCATGTTTATTTTGGTCTGAATTTACTGGAAATTCACTCTTATTATGCTATTTTGTGATAAAAGTTCTTGCTATTGTTTCTGCTTGTAAATACCTCTTTTTATCTCTTGGATTAATTAAATCAAAAGTTTAAAATAAGTTAATCCCAAACAATCTTTTAATAATTGGGCAGCTTAGGAATAAACTCAAAAAAAAAGTACTTAACAAAGTCAAAATACAAAATAAAGTCTCTTCTGATTTCTTATCTGATGATAATTTAAACTTGAATCTCTTTTTCGATGAAGAAAATAAACTAGAAAAGTTGAATGAGAAGCTAGAAGAAACTACAATTGAAGAAGATGAAGTGCCTTTTATGGATAAATTTTTTGACTTTATTTCATTTGAGAACAATCAAGAACTTGGAAATTTGCAGAATGTTGATTTGGAATGAAGTAATTTAGCAGAGGATAATTGGTCTATTGAGGATATTCTTTTTGAAGACAATTAAAAAACTAAAATTTATAAAAAAAAAAATTTAAAATACTAAAATTTGTAAAAAAAAAAAAAATTAAGAATAAAATAATTGTATAATTGTTAATATATACCTTTATTAAAGTTCTACTTTTTGTATGCCGATTAGTAATACTGTAATACGTAATTAGTGATACAAATCGGCAAAACTATTAATAAGTTGCTAAGAAAATTAAGATTTTTCCGATTTGTATCAATAACTGCAGAACTGCATATAAAGTTTTAAAAATTTTTACTATGGAACGGACTACTACTTCACTATAACAAGTTTGTACGGGAAATTTCACGTGATTATACATAGGGGCATGCCCTAGGGGCATGCCTTAGCCTGAGGCATGCCCCCGGGGGCATGCTCAAATATTTTCCCGTCCCCCCACCCTACCCTTATGGTTATTAAAAATAAACATTAGTATACCGAAAATTCCCGAATATAACCGAAAAATTCCGATCATCGTGCCGACCATTATATTGACTAATTTGTCACCTCTATCTGTTTAATTTTATGGGGATGGAGGGGGGATAACGTTAAACGAAAGTTTAACTTCAAGCGGCCTAATCCTATAATCAAGATTTTGCTATCGTTATAAGCCTGTGATCCGGTTTTTTCA